GTGTCAGCCTAGCTCACAGCAACCTCAAACTCCTGGGCTTAAGAGATCCTTCTGCCTCAGCCTCCCAAGTAGCTGGGACTACAGGCATGCGCCACCATGCCCGGCTAATTTTTTCTATATATTTTTAGCTGTCCAGCTAATTTCTTTCTACTTTTAGTAGAGACGGGGTCTCGCTCTTGCTCAGGCTGGTCTTGAATTCCTGAGCTCAAACGATCCTCCCGCCTTGGCCTCCCAGAGTGCTAGGATTACAGGCGCACCCTGTAATCCTAGATAGATTCTTTGAGACTTATCCTTCAGGACACTTGGATAATCTACTCATTCAATAGAGCCAACAAAGCACCACAGGTCCATAGATAATCTAGGGATAAGTATGCTACAGCCCACACATAGGCCAAGTCTGGTGAACTGCCAGTTTTTATGAATAAAGTTTTATTGGCACACACTCATACTCATTCAATTACATATTGTCTATGGCTGTTTTCATGCTACAATGGTAGAGTTGAGTAGCGGCAACTGAGACTGGCTGGCACACAAAGCCTAAAATATTTACTATCAGGCTCATTATAGAGTTGCCTGAGCCTTGGATCATCTACAATAACCAGCTGGAAATCCACCATCCACTGCCCTCTTTCACTTCTCTGCCCAGCATTCCTTGCCCCCCAGCCCATGCCCTCACCACCGTCAGATGCCTGACGAGCTCAGTGAAATTGGGGCTCTCGTGATAACTGGCCAGAACCTCAGACTCCACACGTCGCCCGGCCACCTCCAGCACAACCTGGGGCTGCTCCACTTCAAACAGGTACACACGACCAAGGCCCCTCAGACCCCAGAACAGCACCTAGAGCCAGGAAGTGAGAGATTCAGGGACCTGCACCTCACAGAGGGACACCACAATGTGGGGGAATAGGGGGCTTGGGGTGCCTGGTGCTACCTCAACATGGAACTCCCTGAGCACTGGGCGCACGTTGGGTGGCAGGGACAGGCGTCCAGAGCGGGGCTCCATCAGGGGTGCCAGATCCTGGGGCTCCACATCATTGGGCACTGAGGGCTGCAGGGGGAGGGAAGTCAGAGAGGAATCAGGCCAAAGGAGGGACAGCCTGGCTGTAGAGAAGGGACACAGGGAGCTGCTGGTAAAGTACAAACACAAGGAACCAGGCAAGGCTGGACCGGTGAGAGGAGCGGGCTCAGGAAGCAGCCACGTGCAGGAAGGGAGGGGGGTATCTGAGGCATGTGGGATGGGGTGGGACCCCACAGCCAGGTTCTCTGGGGTTGGAGGCCTGGCAAGGTGAAACCTGGGCATGCATACCTGTAATGTTCCTTGGGGTCAGGAGGTCCAAGGAAGTGACTCCAGGAAAGACCTGTAGCCTGTATTCTCTGGGGTAAGGGACCCGGGGTGGTATCCCTGGGACATACCCATGTTTTCTATTCCCTGGGGATGGATGGCCTAATGGCCCATCCCTATGTCAGATAAGCCAGGGTATTCTGACCTCAAATCGGCCACTGTAGTCCAGTTCAATGAGTTCAAAGGTGGCAATGAGCTCTCCAGCTGCCCGGGGTCCCTTCCTCAGGGGGAAGAACTGCAGCTCAGGGGATAGGTAGGGGTCCTCCACCAGCTTTACCCTTGGGGCGGCCAGGGCCCTGCCCAGGAACACAGGGGGGCCCTGCGGGGAACAGGGTGGTGAAGACAAAAAGGGAAGAGGCTCAGGAGGCAGGCTAGGGTGGGGGGATTAGGCCAAGGGAGATGCCAGGCCGGGACCCCAGCTGGAGCCCAGGCCACACTCACAATCTTATTGTGGTTAAAAACATTGATGACCACTAAGGGTGGCTCCTCCTGCAGATGCTCCCTCCTGCCATCTATGATCAACTGGTCAAATACCAAGAGTTCATCCCACAGGGGGCTCAGCGTCTGCTCCAGGACCTTGGGGCCATGTAGAAAAGAGGGCACCGGCAGCTGTCAGAAGAAGGCTCCCAACACACATGCCAGGTGAGCACCCCTACTCTAAGGGAACACTTGAAGTGACGCTTGTCACAAAAGGAGTGAGATGTGATGAAGCTGAAAGCACCTTCAGATTGGTGCTAGAGCCCACCCCTTCTAGCCCTGTCTGTCCCTGTTGTAATTTGCGGCCCTCGGAGCCCAGGCCTAGAGTCAACCCCAGAAAAGGACTCCTCACCCCTAAGACCTCTGGTCCTATACCACCCTGAGTGGGGAAGTCCCATCCAATATCTTGTCCTAAAACCCCAGGGTGGGAAGAAAGTCTTAGACCCTTGGGGAAAAGCTCAGCCCCACCCCACCTTGTCTCCCAGGCCCCCTCCCCACCTCCCTCACCCGTGTGGTCTGGCACTGTGTAGAGATGAGGACTCGAGCAAAGGGGTCCGAGAGGCCACTGTCATCTGCTGCCAACACACCTCGGGCCTGGTACAAGTGAGCCCGGAGCTGGAAGTACCTAAAGTCTGGGGTGAGGGGGAAGGAAGGGGCCGTGTTTGCTCAGGGGACCACTGGGGTGCCTGACACATTAGCCCCACCCCTTGGGCAAATAGCAAGGCAGGCCCTGTGCCCACCCTGCCCATCCTGTACTCACCATCCCGGCATAGGCTGTGAGGCAGCCCAGCCGAGGGCTCGGGCAGCAGGTCTGGGGGCAGCTCAAAGGTGCAGGCCTTGACTTGTTTGCCCAGCCCCAGCCACAGGAAGAGCTCCAGTTTGGCACAGACCTCCCCAGGGCCTGCCCCGGGCACCTGTGTGGGAAGGAAGCATGTTAGGGCCCCATTGCCTCCTCTGATTACCCCAGCTAGGCCCAACAGTCCTGCTCCTCCAAGGCACGCCCTGCTCCATGTGGCTAAACCATGCCCAGCTCCCTGATCTGAAGAACACTCCCTACAAGCCCAGCCACGCACCATCTTCCTGCCCACCTTCCTGTGCCCAACGACCCTCTACTCTCCGTCCCCACAATTCCTGCCCCAACACTGACACTTACTATACCCCACAACCCCACATCCCAAAACTGCACTCTGAGCTCTGCCCTCCAGCTTTGCCTCCTCCGCCCCAACACATTTACATTCCCTGTTCTCTGCCCAAGGGTCACAGCTTCTCCCAACTAGGGACCCCTTTTGGTATCTTTTCCAGGGACACTTCATTTAGAAATATTTTGCCTGCAAACCAGCTATGCTTGCCAGGGACTAATTACACTCTCCGGTTTCGGCACACAGCCCATCTGTCAGCGCCTAGTCAGCAAAAGGAGCAGTGCTGGCCCACAGCTAGCAAGCTTTGGAGTTTATCTCATTTCAAGCTGACCTGGGCAAAGGCACAATCTCCTTTTGGTTTTGTGGACGATTGAAGAGAGTTTGGGGGCCCCTCGTTAGGAGCCCCAGGCCTCCACCCCAATGCCACCCTGCCCTACGAGCCTCACCCCCTTCTCCTAGCACCCTCAGCCCGGGCCCCCTCACTGTGAGCAGCAGACTCTGGATCTTCCCGCAGTCCCGGCCCCGTTCCTCCTCGACCACAGAGAACAGCACATCCTGGGCAGCGATCCGGGCCCAGGCCACGCGGCGCCGCCCACTGAGCATACAGACCAGCACGTCGGGGAGGGGTGGCTGAGGCTGTGGGCAGAGAACTGGGTCACGGAAGTGGATTTGGAGCTAAGACCATCTGCTGCCACAGCTTGGACCTCAGACTGGATGGATGGACCAAATATCCATTCCTGTCCTGACCACCCCCGAACCCCAGTTCCATGTGGCCAACTGACTTCTGGACATCTCGCTCTGGATACCCCAACAATCCACCCAGACTCAAAGTCCAACCTGACTTCTTCTTCTTCTTATGGTAAAATACATATAGATAACATTTACCATATTAACCATTTTTAAACATACAGTTCAGTGACGTTAGGTATAATACATTCACATTGAGCACACATCACTACCACCCATCTCCAGAACTCTTCATCTTGCAAAACTGAAATTCTGTCCCCATTAAACACTAACTCCCCATTCCCCCTACCCACCCAGCCCCTGGCAACCACCATTCTCCTTTCTGTCCCTATGAATTTGACTACTCCAAATACTTCATATGAGTGGAATCATACAGTGCTTGTTGTTTTGTGCCTGGCTTAGTTCACATATGCCTTCAGGATAACATCCCTGAGATTCATCCATGTGGCAGCACGTGCCAACCTGACTCCTTTACCTTTCCCTCTGCCCCTGCCTGATCCTTCCCAGTGTCCCCATCAAATGCCCATTCACATCAGCCACATGCCTGAGCTGGTGGCACTCTTCTCCCCCAACAGCCAATCCCCAAGTCCTGCCAGTTTCCCACTCCTCTCCCTTCCTCACTCTTGTCACAGCCTCCTAATCAGGCTTCCTGCTTCGGTCCTCCCTTCCAGCCCATTATCTACCATGAATGGCTGGCTTCTCCCCATCCTCTGGGTCTCAGTTTCAATTGCCCAACCACCTTCTCCAAGCAGGTTCTCAGTCTCTGTAACAACTTTCTTAGCAGTTCCTATAGATCGTAATTATTCTTCTTCATTTACAGATGTATAGTCTGTCTCCCTTACTAGAAGAGAAGTCCCCAAAGGGCAAGGAACATGGCAGGGGCTGGATCCCTAGGGCCTAATACAGAGCCTGGCACATAGTAGGACTTCAAATATCATTGAATAAAGGGGGAAAAAAACCCCAGCTAGAACTGCTCTCTCCAAAGCACAAATCTGGCCCTCTCCTTCCCCTTTCAAAACATCATCCCAGACTTCCATCTCCACAAATACTAGCTAGAAATTAAAACCTACTTCTCACCAAAAACAACTAAAGTCTGGGTAAAATAGTTTTAAATATTTTATTAAAAGCAGTGGTGAGTATAAAAGTCAAGAATTATCAGACCAAACTCTAAATGACAATGCGAACCCAGGGAGGTTAGCAGAGCATTTAAGCCACTTTTGCCAGAAGGGCATTTGCCAAACCTGGCAAACCTGAGCTTTTTATGACCTAACAGTGAGTAAAGACAAAATAAAGAGCTCAGATCCCACTCAGGACAGGAGTCTAATAGATCTCTCCCCTCTCTGAAAGCTAGGACCCCAAGAAATTATGCCTTCAGGATAAAGGTTACCCATAAATAAAGCTGCCCCCTCTCTTACTACCCTGGGATCTACAAGGAAAGTTGCCTGGCTGGGTGGAGCAGGGGAGTTGGAAATTGTTTCTGAGAAGCATAAGCACAAACTGACTTTTTCATAAGCGTAGGTGTCGCTAAACATCAGACTGTAGTATAAGGTGATCTAAGGCAGAAGGAAAGTCAAATGCTTTCTGGAAAATATGTGCCTTTATTCCAAGACTCAAAGAATTCCCACAAATGATTTTATAAGGAAACCATAGGCCGGGCGCGGTGGCTCACGCCTGTAATCCTAGCACTCTGGGAGGCCTAGGTAGACGGATCGTTTGAGCTCAGGAGTTCGAAACCAGCCTGAGCAAGAGCAAGACCCCGTCTCTACTAAAAAAAATAGAAAGAAATTAGCTGGACAACTGAAAATATATATATATATAAAAATTAGCCGGGCATGGTGGCGCATGCCTGTAGTTCCAGCTACTTTTGAGGCTGAGGCAAAAGGATTGCTTGAGCCCAGGAGTTTGAGGTTGCTGTGAGCTAGGCTGACGCCACGGCACTCTAGCCCAGGCAACAAAGAGAGACTCTGTCTCAAAAAAAAAAAAAAAGGAAACTATAATGAGCAATTCACAGTCAAAAGCAACTAAGCACAAAAGGAAATAGCAGAAATAGCAATATCAAACCAAACCAAAGAGTCTATTATTGGAATCATCTGACATTATAAAAACAATTCTGCTTACTAAATGTAAACAAAAGACAAACTTTACTGGGAATAAGAAACTGTGAAAATAACAGTGGATGTGAAAAAAATAGGACTTAAAGAAATGAAAAGTATAAAAGTTAAAATAAAAAATTCAGTAGAGGCACTTATAGTCTTCTGATTTTCAATTAAAAAGCCAAAACAGGCTGGATGCATTGACTCATGACTGTAATCCCAGCACTTTGGGAGGCCAAGGCAGGAGGATCACTTGAGGCCTGAGCAACATAGTGAGACCCCATCTCTACAGAAAAAAATACAGTGAGCTACGATTGTACTACTGCACTCCAGCCTAGGTGACAGAGTGACATCTTACCTCTAAAAAAAAACCAAAACCAAAAAACTCTAAACTCATAAGCCTTTAGAGTACAGCATAGGAGAACACCTTTGTAGCTTGGCAGTAGGTGAAGGCTTCCTACACAGGTAATAGAAGACAAACACAAAAGAAAAATTAGATAAATAACATTTCATCAAACTTTAACATTCTGGTCATCAAAAATCACCACTAAGTGTTACAGCTCTTTTAGAATTTGTCTAGCAGGTTTTCCAGTCCTTACCATAAGACCTCATTAAAAAAAAAAATCATCACTAAGAAAATGAAAAGCAAGCCACAGACTGGAAGAAAATATATATAAAATTATATATCTGACAAATGACTGGTATCTAGGATATATATTTTAAAACACCTATAATTAATAATTAGGAAACAGTTCAATTTTTAAGATTGGCAAAACTATGAGAAACACTGCACAATTCTAAGGTGTTCTAAACAGCCGGAAACAAAACAAAACAAAACCAAACACTGCACAAAAGATATGTGAATGGCAAACAAGCACAAGAGAAAGCTCAATATCACTAGCCACTAGGGAAATACAAAACTATTAATAAAATGACTTACCATTATACACCCATCAAAATGTCTAAAATAAAAAAGATTGGAAACACCAAATGTGGGTGAGAAAATGGAGCAATTGAAACTTTTTTTTTTTTTTTTTTTTTTGAGACAGAGTCTCACTGTGTTGCCCGGGGTAGAGTGCCATGGCGTCATCCTAGCTCACAACAACCTCACACTCCTGGGCTCAAGCAATCCTTCTGCCGCAGCCTCCCAAGTAGCTGGGAGTACAGGCATGCGCCACCATGCCTGGCTAATTTTTTCTATATATTTTTAGTTGTCCGATTAATTTCTTTCTATTTTTAGTAGAGATGGGATCTTGCTCTTGCTCAGGCTGGTCTCGAACTCCTGAGCTCAAACGATCCGCCCGCCTTGGCCTTCCAGAGTGCTAGGATTACAGGCGTGAGCCACCGCACCTGGCATGGAACTTTTTTAATTTTGTTGGTGGGTGTGTAAAATGGTATAATCACTTCAAAAAATGGTCTGACAGTTTCTTATAAAATTAAACATAGAGACACCCTATGAGTCAGCAATTCTACTTTTAGGTATTTACCCAAAAGAAATGAAAGCATATGTCCACAAAAAGACTTATGCAAGAATGGTCATAGCTACTTTATTCATAATAGCCAAAAACACGTAACAGCCCACAAGCGTCCATCAATAAGAGAATGAATAAATAAATTGTGATATATTTATACGATGTAAAATAAAAAAGAAATAAACTAAATATCTGCAACAATATGAATGAATCTCAAAAACATTATGCTGAGTAAAAGAAGCCTTTCACAAGAGAATATAGTCCTTCCTCAATATTCATAGATTTTATATTTGCAAATTCACTTACTGGCTAAAATTTGCAACCCCAAAATCAATACTCCTGGTGCTTTTGTTCACATGTGTATGGGCAAAGAGCCAAATAGTCTGAACCACCCTGAGGTGGAACAAAGCAATTCTCTGCCTTTGATACTGTAATCAGCATCTTTATAGCAGTCTATTTAGTGCCATGCTTTCCACATTTTTGTGCTTTTTGTCAGTGATTTTGCTGTTTAACGCATTGATTGTCATGTGAGTTGTATTTAACTCACGCTAGTTTTGAGCCTGGGGCCATGTGAGGCAAAACCCTTACTTGTTGATGTTCTTATTGTTACAATTAATATCGTCAATTTAATTCTAAAAACATGATTGCATTGTGTATAACTCACATACAAAACACAATTAAAAAAATGACAAATTAGAAAGGATCATTTTGTTTTAATAAAACACAGTGGCCCCAGGGAGAAAATTTTTTTTCTGGTGTGGCAGTCAATGTGTTAAAATGGCCTTCAAGTGAAGTGAGTGCCACAGTGCTGCCTAGTGTTCCTCAGCGCAAAAAAGCTGTGATGTGTCTTACACAGAAAATATCTGTGTTGGATACACTTTGTTCAGGCATGAGCAATAGTGCTGTGAGCCCTGAGTCCAATGATAATGAATCAACACTAGATTAAATAAGGTGTCTCTAAACAAACACACATAAAACAAGGTTATGTACTGACAAATTAACAAAAATGTAACCAGAGGCTCATAGGAACCTAACCCTCTATTTCCTCTAAGAGCAATGATTCAGTATTTGCTAATTCAGTGTTTGCAGCAACTTTACAAAATCTGACTACCACTAATGACAAGAATCAACTATACATGCTATAAATTCCATTATATGAAGTTCTAGAACAGGCAAAACTATAATAAAAAAATCAAAACAAGGCTGGGCATGGTGGCTCATGCCTGTAATCCTAGCACTCTGGGAGGCTGAGGAGGGAGGATCGCTTGAGGTCGGGAGTTTGAGACCAGCCTGAGTAAGAGCGAGACCCCCATCTCTACTAAAA